TTCGCAATTATAAAAGTTATAATGATATCAGTAAGTTTGTAAATAACTATATGACAGATGTTGATGTTGATTACCAAATGAACATTAAAGATAATTCAATTGATGAAAATTTTGACATGTTTCATGAAGCTATCATGAAAGCGCTCGATGATAAAAGAAGTAGTTATTTTCGACTAAAAGAATGAGAATTATCAAATCCGTCTGATGATGAATTTGTTATGAAAAGGCTAGGATGCACAGAACCTTGTGACTGGTGTGGAGCTTTATGTTGGGGAGGAAGAGGCCATCATGAAAATAGCGGAGAAACAAACATGCATCATACTAGCCATCAACCAGGAGGCCTTAAAGGGACACGATGTTTACACACAAAAAAGTTAAATGCGATAGCCTGCCATAAACGTCCAAATGAAAGTGGAGTGCAATATTATATCAAGGAAGAGCAAAAAAATCTAAAATGGGATGAAGCAAAATCTATTGACTATAAAAATTGGAAATTTGAACCGCATTATATAACTAATTTTAATGAAATTATGTGTTGGTTTTTTGAACAGTTGAATAAAGATCTGGCTAAAACGTTTGGATGTAATCCAGCAGATGAGTCAGAATTAAAAAAATATGGTTGCTTAAAAAAAGATTACAATGACATAATCAGTGTATTACATCATTGCCTTGAAAATAATAAGTGATGTCTGCGTAGCATATACTGTCGCATACGATGAGACTAGTCATGACGAACCATGTGATGCTAATTGTCACATGGTACAATATATAAAAATCAACAATCTATTTTGATTTGTCATAAATAATTGCATGTGTAATTAATCACTAGATGAGACTAATATGCCTGATTACGAGCATTAAATAAAGTAGTGTCTGTTGATTCGTATATCATATACTTTTTCTTTTTTTTGTCTCAAGTTTGGATTTTAATAGATTTTATATTATATTTACTTATTTTTTGCTTACAGAGTATTCTCATTAATTTTTCTTGTTTTTGTCTCTTATATTTGCTTTGGTTTATTTTTTAATTTTTAACTCTTTCTTTAATTATATATATATTTACTTGTATTGCTTCATAGGAGATATTTATATTAAGAAAAAAAAATAAATCATTTACTATAAGTACATTTAAGTTTATTATATGATACTAGTAAATTTTGTATCTTCTAGATAATTTTTTGCTAAACAATATCAGCTATATCTTATTTTCTTTGCTAAAGCTTTTTGTTGCAATTTTTGATAATGTTGACTATTAAAAATCCTTTGGTAATTTATTCATATAACACTATAATAAGCAAAAAAAAATTTTTTTTACCAAAGTATTTGACTATCTTTATTTTATCAAATTCTGTATCTAATTGAATTTATTAGCTCTGATAAAAGTTTATCAATGATTCATTTTTCAAATCATTGATATTTTCATAAGAATTATAATAATAACATAGATATTACAATATTTCTAAGTTATTTAACTTTTCAATTTACTTATTAATTCATCAAATACATGTATAATTTATTTATTTAATATGATTGCTTTATTTAACCCAAAATTAAAATTGTAACTTTAAACAATCTCAATATAATGCTATTCATAACAAAATTTGGAGATGCATCTTTTTTTGCTAAATTTAAATCTATATATTGCATATTGAATTTTCTTAAAATTGTTACAAAGAATAATTCAATTATCCATGTTGAAGAAACCGCTTGGAAAACACTCTTAATTGACCCTGTCTAAAGCCAGACTCTGGACCTAATTCATTTTTTAATTTGAAATTTAGTCAATCAAATGATGTCACAATGAGGTATGTGTTAATATAAATTAATATAAATCATATATAGCATATAAATCATATTAAAGAATTTTTTTTATAGCTAAAAGTAAAGAATATTACTAAAGGAGTTGTTTACATGATAAACAATTATATTAATAAGTAAATTAGTTTATATTATTTATATTTAAATAGGTAATAATTTGCAAATAAATAAATTTAATTTTGATTAATTTACTAATAATTATATATAAACAACTTATTTTATAAACAATTAATTATAAACAACTTAGTGTACAGACAATTTTTTTTTTTTTTTAAGGTGAGGCCTTGCTCATATCTTTAATTAGCAATTTATTGAGTTATTATAATAAAAACCCAGTTTGTACAAGACAAATCATCATAAATTACATGCAAGAATATAAGCTTAGACTAATTTTCTGGGACCTAAACCTACTAGAATAGTCAAGACTCACCTAGATTTAATAGTTAATATATAATTGGTGAGTAAGCTATATTGAATTTATGCTATGTATCATTGGTTAAATTTATATCATGCTTGTCCTATTGAGGGACAATTGTTCTCATTATTGTTATTATTATCAGTGTGAAGTTAATCAAGTAGGCCATATAGACAGTTGTATGTAAATTTTATGCGTAGTTGCCAGTTTCTACACTGTAGCTATGTTTGTGTTTCTGGTGCTCGATTATGTGCTTTGATAATGTTTTGTTTTTTCTACTTTGCTAGTTGGTCACAGTAAGGTTTTCAAATTTGCTCATAGATCTCTGCAAATATATTTAGTAATAATTGGATAAGGATATTGGCTGCTTCTTTATAGTATATGTCTACTACTAGCATAGCTTGTATGAGGTTTGATAAGATAAAGCTTTTTTTTTTTTTTTTTTTTAAGCGATCCTGCCTTTATTTATGTGAACTGCTATAAAATTTATATACAATGTACTAAATT